CCCAAACAGCTGGTACTCTACATCACTGTCTATCAACGAATACCCAGACAGCTGGTACTCTACAACACTGTTTATCAACGAATACCCAGACAGCTGGTACTCTACATCACTGTCTATCAACGAATACCCAGACAGATGGTGCTCTACATCACTGTCTATCAACGAATACCCAGACAGCTGGTACTCTACATCACTGTCTATCAACGAATACCCGGACAGCTGGTACTCTACAACACTGTCTATCAACGAATACCCAGACAGATGGTACTCTACATCACTGTCTATCAACGAATACCCAGACAGCTGGTACTCTACATCACTGTCTATCAACGAATACCCAGACAGATGGTACTCTACATAACTGTCTATCAACGAATACCCAGACAGCTGGTGCTCTACATCACTGTCTATCAACGAATACCCAGACAGATGGTACTCTACAACACTGTCTATCAACGAATACCCAAACAGCTGGTACTCTACATCACTGTCTATCAACGAATACCCAGACAGCTGGTACTCTACAACACTGTTTATCAACGAATACCCAGACAGCTGGTACTCTACATCACTGTCTATCAACGAATACCCAGACAGATGGTGCTCTACATCACTGTCTATCAACGAATACCCAGACAGATGGTACTCTACAACACTGTCTATCAACGAATACCCAGACAGCTTGTACTCTACAACACTGTTATCAACGAATACCCGGACAGCTTGTACTCTACAACACTGTCTATCAACGAATACCCAGACAGATGGTGCTCTACATCACTGTCTATCAACGAATACCCAGACAGCTGGTACTCTACAACACTGTCTATCAACGAATACCCAGACAGCTAATACTCTACAACACTGTCTATCAACGAATACCCAGACAGATGGTGCTCTAGATCACTGTTTATCAACGAATACCCAGACAGATGGTACTCTACAACACTGTCTATCAACGAATACCCAAACAGCTGGTACTCTACATCACTGTCTATCAACGAATACCCAGACAGATGGTACTCTACAACACTGTTTATCAACGAATACCCAGACAGCTGGTACTCTACATTACTGTCTATCAACGAATACCCAGACAGATGGTGCTCTACATCACTGTCTATCAACGAATACCCAGACAGCTGGTACTCTACATCACTGTCTATCAACGAATACCCGGACAGCTGGTACTCTACAACACTGTCTATCAACGAATACCCAGACAGATGGTACTCTACATCACTGTTATCAAAGAATACCCAGACAGCTGGTACTCTACAACACTGTCTATCAACGAATACCCAGACAGCTGGTAATCTACAACACTGTCTATCAACGAATACCCAGACAGATGGTGCTCTACAACACTGTCTATCAACGAATACCCAGACAGCTGGTACTCTACATCACTGTCTATCAACGAATACCCAGACAGCTGGTACTCTACAACACTGTCTATCAACGAATACCCAGACAGCTGGTACTCTACAACACTGTCTATCAACGAATACACAGACAGATGGTACTCTACAACACTGTCTATCAACGAATACCCAGACAGCTGGTACTCTACAACACTGTCTATCAACGAATTCCCAGACAGATGGTGCTCTACATCACTGTCTATCAACGAGTACCCAGACAGCTGGTGCTCTACATCACTGTCTATCAACGAATACCCAGACAGATGGTACTCTACATCACTGTCTATCAACGAATACCCAGACAGCTGGTACTCTACATCACTGTCTATCAACGAATACCCAGACAGATGGTACTCTACAACACTGTCTATCAACGAATACCCAGACAGATGGTACTCTACAACACTGTCTATCAACGAATACCCAGACAGATGGTACTCTACATCACTGTCTATCAACGAATACCCAGACAGATGGTACTCTACATCACTGTCTATCAACGAATACCCAGACAGCTGGTACTCTACAACACTGTCTATCAACGAATACCCAGACAGCTGGTACTCTACAACACTGTCTATCAACGAATACCCAGACAGATGGTACTCTACAACACTGTCTATCAACGAATACCCAGACAGCTGGTACTCTACAACACTGTCTATCAACGAATTCCCAGACAGATGGTGCTCTACATCACTGTCTATCAACGAGTACCCAGACAGCTGGTATTCTACAACACTGTCTATCAACGAATACCCAGACAGCTGGTACTCTACAACACTGTCTTTCAACGAATACCCAGACAGCTGGTACTCTACAACACTGTCTATCAACGAATACCCAGGCACGCCGAGCACTTGAACACACACACTTTATGAATGACTAGGGTTTTTCTTTTATTGACGCGTGTCTGTCACACAGATTCACCTGGTTACAGTATCTCCTTACAACTACACAGCCTGTCCAAAAACAGATGAGCTATCTCTCATGACTATCTCATTAAATTAAATCGCCCCCCTCCACTCTCTCTATCTCACGCCTTATAGCCACACACTTGTTGATTTATTTTATCCCTGCTATCCGATGTTCATTCCGACGCAATAATGACACGCATGACTTAACTCACGGACCCGAACAGCGTTCATGCTAACAACACTGATTCTCATACCCTTGACACATAGGATATATATGTATTTCGCAAACACCCTCTGGGGTGATGCTATCTACCATCTTTTTCAGTTAATGTATATTGGCCTGTGTTGAAACGGGATGAAAGACTTTGACTTCGTATGCTCGTATGTAGCTTTATATTGTTGCGTCTGTTTTTTAAATATGGTAAATTTCAGATTGTTTTTATTTCTCTTTATAATATGGTTGACTTTGTACCGCGCTTCGAGCTTTTGGGGATGAAGCGTGTTTTTCAAATAAACTTTATTATTATTATATATATATATCAATAAATGTATATGATATAGGCCAGATCTATATTATGTGTATATATACTACACACGTATAGATATAGGCCTATAGCACATGCGTTCATTGATGAAACTGAAAAAAGGGAAGGGGTACCATTTTTAGTTTTTACCCTGGGCGCAGCTTTTTACCCGAAACGGTCTTGAATTTACCAGACATGACACTATCATTTATAGCGCATTTTTCTATGTAACAAGTTTTACTTTTACCAAAGACAATGCGGGTGAACTGTATTCAAATGTGTATACAAGCTAAGAAATATCTGATAAGACAGGGACGTTCCTTCTAATGCAGTGTACACATCTGATAAGACAGGGACTTCCTTCTAATGCAGTGTACACATCTGATAAGACAAGGAAATTCCTTCTCATGTAGTACACACATGACAAGTTCCTTCTCATGTAGTGTACAATCTGATAAGACAGGGAAGTTCCTTCTCATGTCGTAGTTTACACATCTGATAAGACAGGAAAGTTCCTTCTCATGTAGTGTGCACATCTGATAAGACAGGGAAGTTCCTTCTCATGTAGTGTACACATCTGATAAGTTCCTTCTCATGTAGTGTACACATTAGTTCCTTCTCATGTAGTGTACACATCTGATAAGTTCCTTCTAATGTAGTGTACACATCTGATAAGTTCCTTCTAATGTAGTGTAAACATCTGATAAGTTCCTTCTGATGTAGTGTACACATCTGATAAGTTCCTTCTAATGCAGTGTAAACATCTGATAAGTATGACGTACGTTTTACATTGAATGTTGGGAAACACCAGTGATTCAATTTTTGAAATCTTTTTAATGAACTTCGCGTTTGTTCGTGGGTGGCTGGCTGGCAAAAATCTTCGGACGGATAAATGACCCTTTTCCCGTCAACCTATCGAGCTGAAACTTGGTGCATGGAGTCGTTGCCGATGGCAACATTTTCATTCAAATTTTCAGCTCCGATCCCAAACCCCTAACCCACCAAAATCAGTTGTTCCTGTTTTTCAAGGGTAAGATAAAAGGAAATTCCCGATAACTGCCCCTAAATGAGATTCTTTTAAAATCCAAACTTTGCAAGTGCGCTTGGTGTGTTATATTTTCTTTTTCTCAAAATTTGGGTGGAATAAATCTGTTGTGTAAAAGCGGATGTGAATTAGAATATTTACTATAGTTCAGGGGCGTGAACAAATGTGCGGTTGCGAGCTTTTTTTTTTTTGGGGGGGGGCGGCTTATTAATTTGGATAATTCTAAAGTGCGTTACCTGTATGCAAGTTTTGTCAAATTTTTCAGCCCCACCCCCATTGCTTTATACTACATTTATTAAAGGATTTCTAGGTAACATTTCTTTAAGGGTTGTTTCATTTCATAACTAAAACCATTCCCAGCAGTTTTATCACAAAGCTGTTCATAAAATGTATACTTCTATGTCCCCCCCCCCCATTTTCGTCTTTTGGCACTTTTGTTGTACAATGTATAGACCAGGGGTCGGGAACCTTTTTGTCTGAGAGAGCCATGGACACCACATATTTTGAATAAATTATGTTTAAAACTAAAAATTAAAGTAGATGTGTGCATTTGGTGTAATTTCAACATTAAAAATGCAATAATTATGTCTCTGAATTCTTTTTAATAACATTGTTATGCTGTTGCTAATCAATAATCAGTATTTTTTTATGATCGAACATTTGTCTCCAATCCAGATGCAGCCATCAATGGAGCCACATCTGGCTCGCGAGCCATAGGTTTCCGACCCCTGGTCTAGCCGATCACACTGGTCTTTGCTACGCTAAATGTAATCATTGTTGTATTATTGAGACGCACATAATTTGTGTTAATAAAACGGTATACGCAAGAATTCATTATACGACAAAATACAAACTCATTAATGCATTTTAGGTGGGCATGGACCATTTTTATAGGCAGGCGTTATTCCCTGCTCACTGTGTATTACGCCCAGCATTGCCCCCAGCCAATAAATGGTTCACTACCGCTAGCAATAATTATTCACAGCTGACTGTGAATAATCACCCCGTTTTGATATCATCTATTTGCACATACGTTATCACTTATAGCCACTTCATATCTTTGATATAAATATCATATGCACATTATATTCTTTTATCATTTGCAAGAGATGACGCCCCCACTGTTCATTAAAGTAGCCTTGCTACTAATTGCTTCTGCGGGTAAATATTATATTTCTATTTGGTTATTATAGTATGTATACCTGAAGAAAGATTTGCCTTTGTTGAACAAATGGAATGAATATTTATACAAAAAAATTAATAACTGTTTTTGACACATGAAATACTTTTGCTATTCATTATTTTAATTGTGACTGTGGCTTTCTTCTTTGAACTTTGACCCAATTCAGGAAGTTTTCGGTCTTTTCTTTATATATCGTCCATTGATTTTATTTAGCGCATGAGAGATCGGTGAGATCCTTTAATATTCACTTCGATTTGGTTCGTGGCTGGGAGCCAAACATTTGAACAACTAAATAACCTAATTTCCGTCAACATATTGAGCTGAAACTTGACATATAGACTTGTAGCCGATGACAACACCAACCAGTTGTTCCCTTTTTTTAAGTAGAGATAAAGGGAATATGATGACACTGATTTCACGAAATAAAATCCCAGATAACTGTGCGAAATTTAAAATAACGCAGGTGCGTTGTATGCGTAATGTCATCGTTTGAGAAAAAAGTCGAGAGTTCTCATACGCGATTCATTTGAAGAACAAATAGATGTGGAGCTGAGCAGCGCAATAGACAGTACACTATTAAAAAATCCACACTACAAGACACTTAATTAAAAATTAATCATTAAATTAAAAAAAAAACACCCCTTTTGCTTAGTTGCCCCAAATCCCATGTTGGGAACCACCTTCCGACAGATGGTCACCTCCAAAGTTTAACATTATGCTAGCACCATCTTCAATCGATAAACAACAGTGGCGCGCCCTAGATAAGTAAGTAAAACTGACCTCTTCAGTTTGGACTGCGCACCTGCTGGATCTTTGATATGACCACCGTTAAAGAACAAGGCCCCCTTCAACCCCCAAGCCCATCTTGAGAAGCATCCCCCCCCCCTTCAAGGAACCTGGGAGGGCATCCTATATTATTGAATTCCCGATAATTATCAATAAACTTTAAAAAAATTCAAATTATCATACTACAAGAGATTTAGTATCCAAAAATATAAATTAAAAGAAATAAACATGCCTTATGAAATCGCTAGTGACCCCCTAACCAAATGTTGAGAACCACTCGATAAATTTAAATGAAAATAAAATTATATCCCAACATGACCACTATTTTAAAGTTATATTAAATTATCACACTACAAGACATTTAATTTAAATTATGAATAAAAAGCAACCCTTATGACTATTGAACCACCAAGCTTGAGAACCACTCAATAAACTTAAATAATATTTAAATTATCATTCAACATGACCATAAATTATTTTTTTTAAAACACCGATTTTGACTGGTCAGCCACAAATTCTAGATTGAGAAACATTCAATAAACTTTAAAAAAATTCAAATTATCATACTACAAGAGATTTATTATCCAAAAAAACATGCCTTATGAAATCGTTAGTGACCCCTAACCAAAGATTGAGAACCACTCAATAAATTTAAATAAACTTTAAAAAAAAAAAAATCATACTACAAGACAATTAATAAAAAATATTAGAAAAAACAAGCAACAAAAAAAAACAAAAACACACACACAACCTGAGAACCATTCAATAAACGTAAACAAATTTATAACATAACAAAAATAATCGTATTAACTTATCAGAAAAGAAGACAATTACTAACACACTCTACAAGACACTCAATACCTATTAAATTATCATACTACAAGACCACTTATTAAAATTCACTTGACAAGCAATTTATTACAAAATTAACTTATTAAATACAACAAGACAAAATTTTAAACTAATATAAATAAAAAATGTCACCATTTTAAAAATGTTTAATGATAAACAGAATATAAATTTCTTGTGATTGCAGCGTCAGCCCTGCAGTTTACCGCCCATCCCACCATGATACATTTCGGGTTCACTCCTAGCCTAGATCTCAGATGCTCGTTCACTCAAGGCGGCAACACGGGGATAATCAGCCTTGTCTCAATGTTCATATCTCGCTCCAGAGACACGCACAATATCGATTACCAAGAAATCGCGTCCGTGAATTCATTTACTGGTAACCTCAGTAACGTAGCTCATGGCAACGCGACAGTCTCAGGCTTCATCAGCAATCTCGGTGAGTCTTATCTCAGCATGCACTGGACATCACCAGATGACCAGGAGGCTGGACTTTATAACTGTGTGGCTAATGGCGTGGACGGTACAGGCCATCCAATAAGCGTGATGTCTACAAGTCAGGTCACGAGTGAGGTGCCCAGTATCATCCAAATGGTGCAAGAGATTCTCAATCTCAAAGTTAACATGAACAACGCCTTAGGAAATAACTGCACATCAGGTACGGTGGCCTTTCACTCTTACTTAAAAAAATTGATTAAGTGGTTCCCGGTTGAATATGGACTGAGTTTTAGAACACCAATAATGTTTTAAAAGAAATCATAATCTAATATGCCCCAGATTGTCGCTACATGACAGAACCTTTAATATCGTGTTAATTCCGCTTAGTTATCAAGCTCAGCAGCTGCAGTTCATGGGTTCTTAAACATTTCAAGTACACAGTGACCGAAGACCTCGATATATGAAAATGAATATTTGACTAAAGGAAAACACATTGAAAATTGATTTTTCAGTAAAAATAACAATTCAATATTATTTTGATTTACGAACCACTTGATGGCAAAATTAAAATTTAAACTAGACCTGGCACAAATTAATAAAGAAAACTCATTTTTTATTAGTTTATTGTTTCAGCATGCGACCAAAAAGAAAATATTTGGCAAATTCATATTTTGGGAAGCTGTGCTTTATTAAGTTCTTTATAACCGGTTGAACATGTGTCAAACTAATTTTATATTGTGTAGGCCTTTTGTTTCCTAAAGAATATTATGTTAAAATCCTTTTCTTTGAAAGCCGAAGCCAACGCATTTAAGATGTCAAATATATGCTGTGAATAATTCTGAAACGGTTTGAAAGTAGACTTCAAAATAACGCAAATCTCAATTAATTTACCTACCAGCCATAATATTAGCTAGTTGTTAATTATTTAAGTATTTTTTTTTACTAATCCAGTCTTTTTGTTGTGATCCATTGTTTGGTTTTAATATTATAAACTGCCTAATTAACAAACAACAATACAAACATAGTCACACTGTGTTTTCTATAGTAGATTCAGTGGCGTAGCGAGGGGAGTGCGGACCGTACCGGGTGACACCATTTTAGGGGTGACACCCGATTGAAAAATTGCATATTTACATAGCACACAGTTCTCGGTCTAACCGAGATTCATAAAAGGATAACCGATCACACATACATTTTTCACAAATGTAACCAATCCAAATGCGGGCTTTATTAAAAGTTCAAGGTTGGTGGATCAGAAATGTGATGACCCTATGTTTAGGTCAGAAAAACACATTCATTATTCCATGCCGTTTGAAGTGTTCGGTAACTTCCTTAAGTGACAGGAGGCTATATTTATCTAAATTCTGAGAAATATGGATTCCATTGATACCAAATAAGTGTGGTCGGGCGGTTATAAGTGTAAAAATAGGTAAAAATTAAAAACATAAACAATGAATTTTACCCATTTATAGGGTTAAAAAATATATTATTTTACACAATTCTCAAACTTTTAATGATTAATTCTTTTTTATTTAAGTTTAAATAAAGAAACGTTTTTTGAAGACATATATAATATTATATATCGAAACCCAAAAGGTATCTTACCTTTCACCAGAAACCCAAAATGAATTTATAATTGTCCTTGCAAATCATGTGAAAGAGATTCTTATCATTGATATAAAGCCTGCGAGGTATTTTGGAATTATTTTCGAAAGTCCACCTGATATATTACACAGTGACCAGGTGTTTGTAGTGATCAGATATGTGATATATCCACAATGGGAAAGTTGAAGTGAGGGGAGTGTTTCTTGCATTTCCCCCGTTAAGATTGAAAAAAAGCTCTGTCATTCTTACAAACTAATGCGTGATGGTGTAGACATAATGATGCTCAGAGCTCAGAGTTACGATAATGCTGCCCTAATGTATGGAATCCATGGAGGTGTTCAAGCCATTCGGAAAAGAAATAATAAAAAACAATTTTTAAAGGATGTGTGGGCCATTCACTTGTGTGGTCAACACACTTTTTCCGAAAATGCTTCATTTATTACATTATTCGGTACTCTTGAAAGAATATTTTCCTTCTTTGCTGGATCCAATAATCGATGGAATGTTCTAATCGAACACACTGGAATGTCGGTGAAAAGACAGTCAACAACGCTTTGGAGTGCTCATCATACTGCTGTTAAAACAGTGAAAGATGAGCTTGATGAATGTTGGGAGGCGATTAAAGCTCTGTCATCACCATGTAAAAATGTGCACAGAAGAGGTTAAGCACAAGATCTTTTACATGCTGTCTGTGATTTCACGTTTATCTGCTACCTTTAACTTTGGGCTGATCTACTTGAGGAAGTTAATCTTACACAGCACTATCTGTAGATTTAAGGAATTACTCTACTCGAAGTGGTGACAAACCTAGAGGCCTTAAGATTGTTTCTGTGCGAGAAGCGCTTTCAATTAATGGAACACGCTATTGAAAAGGCGCTTTGAAAATCAGACCAATGTGGAATTTCGTTAGAGAGAAGATGAAGGTTTAAGAAGAGAATGGCAGGAGAACTATTAATTAATAGATGATGGACACTTTCAGGGAGAAGAAAACAGTAGGGAGATGCTGGAGTGTATTGATCGCTTTCATTCTGAACTCCACATCAGATCATCAGTGATCACGGAAGTACCAGATATGTTTGGGTCTTTTCAACCAAAGAATCTAGTATCAGCAAGTGAAGAAGAGTTATTGGTGTCCGTTCCAAAATTAATTTCTTTCAATGATGAATTGTCAGAAGATGAACTTTAAAAAGAAATATCAAGGCTTAGAAGACATCTAAAAGCAGCTGATTTCTCTAAGTCATGGACTGGTCAGTATTTGATGTTTTGAAATTCAAAGCTGAATGGGACTTCATAGAATCTCTTCCAATACTCTCGCTAAGCTTTTAATTTTTTCTTACGATATGTGTGTATGTGGCTTCATGTGAGCGGAGCTTTTCAAAACTAAGGCTTATCAAGAAATATTTATGATCGACCATGTGACAGTCAAGGTTTTCTGACGTGGCTCTGCTATCAATTGAAAGTCATACAGTGAAAAACATTGATTTTGATCAAGCGATTGACAGGTTTGCAGCTTTGAAGACAAGGAAAGGAAAATTTTAAATTGTAAAGTTAAAGTAAATACAGCTATAACTTAACGTTTTTAAATATATTAACGTCATGAACTTTGATTTATTTGTTTTTGTTCTTGTTCTTGTTATATTGTGGACTTATTTTAACAAGAAAAAAAACCATCATGGAAATTGGGTTGGAGGGGGGGGGGTTGACACCATGAGTTTACCGCACCGGGTGACACCAACCCTAGCTACGCTACTGAGTAGATTCATTTATCATTCCATTGTATCAACTTGCGATCCTAAAAATATCATTACATTTTTTTTTGTTGAAAATATATTCTGAAACAAAAACTTGACTGTTTCATAAAAGAGAAATCAAAATAAAAGTTTAATTTTCTTCAGGTAGTTGGCAGACCAGACTTGAACTGATGAAGAACGCGAGGTTTGAAATATCTTCTCTGTACAAAGGACGCAGGTATCTCTTGTCTAAAATTGCCGACTTTGTGTCAGCCCCCGTGGCCCAGGAATCGTGTGAATTGTACGGGGGTTACCTCGCCGAGATCGAAGATGATGACGAGTTGCAGTTCGTACAAAATTTTTTCAAAACACGCAGCAAGATTGATTTCAAATTTGTTCTCATTGGAGGCACGGACGAGGGTCACGAGAATGTCTGGGTTTATCAGCGTGACGGCAGGGCGATGACGTACACAAAATGGGCGCTTGGAGAGCCTGTCGGCGGAGTGACAAATAACTGTTTGTTCCTGGGGAGCGAGCGTAACTGGCTGATGGCAGCTTCCCCATGCCTTGTGCTCGTCGAGGATTATAATCCTAGATACCTTTGTGAGGTAATAGAGGAATAAAATAAACCTTATGGCATTTATGTCTAAATGCCGAGATCCTTCGAAATTACGAAACGTATGATATGTTCCACAGCAATACAGGCAAACGTATAATGTTTTAGGGGTTAATATGAGAGTCTAAGATCTTTAAAACTGTATGTTCAAGGGTGTCTAAAAACTGAAAAGTTTTTCTGATAGATTATATCTAATTTATTTATTATTTTTTTTTTTTTTTACTTGTCTTGAGCGATGACTTAATCTCAGTTTCAGATCTATTTTTAAAAAAATGTTCTTTTACTTCTGAATTAAAAATTTTTTAACTTTATTGCAACTTTATGCCATTTAAGTAAATTATTGTAAACTTTTTTAATGATGTGAGCTATTTTTGGGTTAAACATTATTTCATTAAAAGTTATTATTTTATTACCAACTTTTATTTATTGCAAATAATCAGACTGATTTGAAGGTCTTATGTCACGTGAATAATGAATAAACTTTAAGAAATTTCATCAACATTTTTATCTATCTTTTAGTGCGTTTTAATTTGTCTTTGAAACAAATTCCTTTAGAGAAGAAATTCTTTAATTCAACGTGAGACCATTTGTAAACATGGACAGTTTAATGGGTCGCGATTCGTAATCAGGAAATGGGCGAAAAAAGAAAAGAAAAATAATTTGAACTAACATACATTGGTTATTCCCTCATTTAATTGGTTATTCCCCCATTTAATTGGTTATTCGCTCATTTAATTGTTTATTCCCTCATTTAATGCCAATTTGTCGTTGTTGTTGAGTAAATAGTTGTTTACAGTAAAATGAGATGATCTTATTTAGATCTGACTGCCACTAAAAACTATAAATCACTGAACGAATGCATCCTCAAAACATAAACTGCCGCTAAACATTCCTCATCCTCAATCTTATCGAGCACGAGATCAACTCACTAACGATGCCACTACGGGCACGGTCTGCTTGACAGCAGTACGTCTGTTTTAACAAGTCAACCATGACAAGCAAACACTATCAACTCACTAAGTAAGACATAACGGGCATTGACTGCTTGACTAAATACGTCGGTGCGGTGGGGGGGGGGGGGGAGCAGGGGGTTTCAATCTTTCCATTAAAAGTTTAGGGAGAAAAAAAAAAAAAAACCCCCCCCCCTTTTTTTATTTTTTTTTTTTGCCGGCTTTTAAATTCCCCAGTTTGGAAAGTAAAAAAAAAAAAAGAAATAATATCACAATTTTTGAAAATATTATTTTTTTTTCTTCGTGACGAAATCACAAGGTCTGAGATTTGTGTTCAGAGAAAAGGCAAAGCTTTGGTTTTATCTTTCTTGTCTGGATTATGCAGGCCATAGCATTACATTCCACAAGTTAGAAATTGACACACATCACTTTTACTGCAAGGCGGATCTAGCAACCCTCGCGTAGTTTGAAGTTTGAATTTTAAGAATTAAATATATACAAAGAATTATAAGCATCACTTAAATTCCTTTATGAACATTCGCAGGATTTTATTGTTCGATTTGATAAATAAAAGGTGAACAATTTATTGAATTATAAAAGAAAATTTAATAGTCTATTACCAATCTCATTATTTAATGGTCAACAATGTTCTAACATTGTTTTAAATTGAAACATTTTCAATAGTCGTTATGAAATTATGAAATCTCATGTTCACGGCCCACAGAATTTACCGTGGTCCGGGGTTGCGGGGGTGGTATTGGCTTCCAACACTCAGGGAGGAGGATAGATTCCTGTTGGACTAAACACGTCGAATATGTGTTGCAACTTGCTCTATACTGTGTTTGTTTATTGTGCGATCTGCGATTGGGTGACACTCTCTACGGAAATCGACAAATCATTATTTCCTTTTGAGATGTTTAACTAAGGAAAATTTTCATCACATCAGCTGATAAAGCTCGTAACTAATGGGTAATAGCTTTCCTCTTCAGATGCTAACCCAAAGATAATGGTATGTCAGCCAGCAAATTTTAAGATTGGGCCGGTTGCTTGGGTTCTGGATGTCATTGGTACATATTGTATACTGGACAGGGGAGAGAATGTAACACTGTGGCTCCCAGGTACTTATTTCTCTAGTTACTGATATTTGGCCAAATCGCCCTGACATGTTTGTTGACGACTTGTTGAAAATGTCAGAATCCACTTTTGTATACTTTAATTTACACCTAATGAAGAAAGCTTTTTAATCAATGGATGTGGATGGATAGTGTTGAATGATGAGGAGAAGTTTAAGAAAAGCATCCTAGCATATTTTTGAGGCTATGACTTTATGGGTGATGGTTAAGTCTTTCCACAAATTAGTACGAGGACATCCTTGGTATTTTTAGCAGATTTATAAGCAAACTGGTGGGGGTAAAGATTTTGCATTACTTCATAAAACATTTACCCTAGGATATGTTTCTGAAAACATTTCATTTAAATTGATACTAAGTGCAACAGGGCTGCTTTTGCAAGTGACTGTATTTGTCTTGGGAATTGGTACAATTGGTACCAAACGTGAGATCCTTCGAGGTTAAGAATGCAATAATGATATGTTTAGTAGGAGCATGTTTTGGTGTGGAGATTAATTGTGTATTTGTTTCTGTGTGATTTGTATTTGTGACGCATTTCGGTATGCCGTAAAATAACATTTATTTTTGAAAGGGAACATGAAGGAAATATGAAACCTTTCTCGCCAGTAGTTTACGCATTTACATAACCGCTTCTTAATAATTAATAAATGACATAAAATTACAAAAATACAAATACAAATGCATATAAAAGATTAACAAGAAAACTTTGTTTTTGAGGTTTGTATCATTTATTATACTTGGTTTGAGATTGCACATTTATCTTCTCATTTTATCTCCTTTCTTTAGGAATCCAATAGTTACTTCGTTGTCTTGTATCGTCTTATCATTGTAAATTGTATTGTTGCGTCTTATCATTGTACAGTTTATAGTGTCGTTTTATCATTTATCATGTTGTAGTGTCGCCTTATCTTTGATCATGTTGTAGTGTCGCCTTATCTTTGATCATGTTGTAGTGTCGCCTTATCTTTGATCATGTTGTAGTGTCGTCTTATCTTTGATCATGTTGTAGTGTCGTCTTATCATTGATCATGTTGTAGTGTCGTCTTATCATTGTACAGTTTATAGTGTCGTCTTATCATTGATCATGTTGTAGTGTCGTCTTATCATTGATCATGTTGTAGTGTCGCCTTATCATTGATCATGTTGTAGTGTCGTCTTATCTTTGATCATGTTGTAGTGTCGTCTTATCTTTGATCATGTTGTAGTGTCGTTTTATCATTGATCATGTTGTAGTGTCGTCTTATCTTTGATCATGTTGTAGTGTCGTCTTATCTTTGATCATGTTGTAGTGTCGTCTTATCTTTGATCATGTTGTAGTGTCGTCTTATCTTTGATCATGTTGTAGTGTCGTCTTATCTTTGATCATGTTGTAGTGTCGTCTTATCTTTGATCATGTTGTAGTGTCGTCTTATCTTTGATCATGTTGTAGTGTCGTCTTATCTTTGATCATGTTGTAGTGTCGTCTTATCTTTGATCATGTTGTAGTGTCGTCTTATCATTGTACATTTTATAGTGTCGTCTTATCTTATCAAGTGTTTTTAAAGTTTGGAAATTTAGTTATATATTTCAATTCCCTTAATAAAAACTGGATCAGATATTCTAGACGTAAGAAGCAAGCGAGGAGTAGATGCAGACTCTGACCATCTACGTGTAAGGGTTAAATATAAGCAGAGGATAAGCATAATTCACAATGGCCGCAATCAAAGAGAGAAACGATATGATTACCAAAAACTCATCAAAGACCCACTAGCTGCAAAAGCTTACCATAATGAAGTAGAAGCATCGCAGGAGGAAGTAAACAGGGAAAACAACGAACATGAACTGTTTGATAGGATAAAACAATGCTGTGAAAAGATCAGCAGAAACGTAATAGAATTCCAGCAAATTAACAATATAGTAGGCTGATTTGATAATGAATGCAGAGAGACTTTTGAAGAAACGAACAAGGCGCAAATGATCATGAAACAAAGGGAAACCAGAAAGACAAGACACACATACAAGCAAGCCAGAAGGAAAGCCACAAAAATGTTTAGGAAGAAAAAGAGGGAATGGGAAAAAGCTATGCTAAAAGATATCAAAGGACTTAACAAGAGAGAGAAACATCAGGGGAATGTACATGAACATAAAAGATGGAAAGAATGGATACCAAGCCAGACCTCAAATGTGTAAGAGTCAGGGTGGAGAATTAATTTAGAAAAGTCTTTAAGTACTGGAAAGGTGGGCTGAATATTTTTAGGGCATACTAAATGCGGACAATAGACAAGATGAAGATTATAAACCACCACATGGAGGTCCAAAACCTTTTATAAACTCCCCAACTCTAGAAGAAACTACAGAAGTAATCAATTTTATGAAAAAACCACAAAACCCCTGGAGAAGATCTCATCACAGCAGAACTCATTAAAAATGGAGGAAGAGAACTAAAAACTCAAATACATAAACGTTTAACTAAAATTTGGCCAGAAGAGAAAATTCCAACAGAATATGAAACGGCACTAATAACCCCAATGCCCAATACACAAGAAAGGTTCCAAAGTTAAATGCACAAACTACAGGTGAATCTCCCTATTAAATGTTACATACAAAATAATGACAAAACTAATTGCCAAAAAGACTACAACAGTACTCTGAATAAATTCTAGGTGGCTACCAATGTGGATTCAGACAAAACAGATAAATGACAGATAAGATGTTCACCATCAGATGCCTATTAGAGAAATGTTTCGAATATAATATCCCAGTACACCAACTCTATGTGGACAATAAAATGCCCTATGACAGCATCAAAAGAAAATAATTATATGAGACTCTGCAGGAGTTTGGCATACCCAAAAAATTGACAAGACTGATACATGTAACATTTAACAACTCAAAAAGCAAGATCAAGGTTCAAGGAGAATATTCAAGGGAATTTAAGATTAGACGAAGCCAAAGACTGGGAGACTCACTATCTTTTATACTATTTGACCTAACATTAGAGAGAGTTATAAGAAGCATACATATTGACACCAGAGGAATAATAACAGGCTACTTTCTGAGGGAAACCCAAGACCCCCAACCAATGGGCACTCTCTACAATCAACCCCTTTAGTATCTTGCATATGCTGATGCACTGCTAGGGAAAAGTATTAAAGAGATATAAAATTACTTTATTTAATTAGAAGACGCATCACTACAAGCAGGGCTGGAAGTTAACAACAACAACAAACAAACAAAAAAAATAATTAAAAAAAATATTAAAAATATGACTATGATAAGAGAAGAACAGTCAGATGAAGCCATTAAAATTAGAGTCCACACTTTTGAAAAAGTAAATCAATTCAAATACCTAGGATCTTAATTAAATGAAAGAAACAATTTACTTGTAAAAATAAAAGAAAGAATATCAGCCTGAAACAGGGCAT